CATGAATGGAAGATTGCTGTGTTGGCATATTTCAGTTTTGCTTTTATTTCTTACACATCGTTGGCTACGCATCTGTTATATTCTGTTTCTTTATGCTTAGTTATTTAGGTCATGTTCTGTTTCTTTATATTTTAAATCTTTTAGAGTTTCAGCATATATGCCCATTGTGTATAACAAAAATATACCATAAACCTACGTTATGACGGACTATTCCTTGACTTCTTCTGAACACCAGCAACTGCTATCTCACACAGCACTTTGTGGAGAGACGTGCCGAAGAGCGCTAACAAGCAGCATGCCTTAGGCTGGCATGCAGAAGAAGAGCAGAAGACCCAAGGGAAATAGCAGAAGGACTTCGGGTTATTTTCTTTCATGCATTCAGCATGTAAATAACTTTCCACATTCCCAATCTCATCAATATAAAACAAAAGATAAAGAATCCATGACAATGCATTTACTTTGCTTGGAATGACTTAAGATTGAAAACCAGCAGCGCACATCCCAAACGCAGTAGGCACTCCATAAACGTGGGCAAACCTAAACATGCATCTTCTGCAACTTAAGTCATGCTTTTAAAAATGTGCTTTTACAAACCATGATTGCTACAAACTAGAAAATGCCATTCTCCTTCTTAACTTTGTTTTTCTATTCATGTATAAAATTATCATTCCTCATAGACGAGTTGATGTGGATTGACTTGAGCGCATATATATTGAGACCCTCTGGAAGAAAGTGTTGATACTCAGGGCTGTACCAACATGCTTCCCGAAACAGTCAATCGTGAAACAGTCACATCTTCAGGAGTTTCTGCAAGGGCGGAGCACTTGGGTCACAGCTTATAAAGCATGAAGGCTCCTTCCTATTCCGTCCCTCGGCCATCTGGAAGAGGGCCACATAAAGAACTGTCCCTGGTTGGGGGTGTTATTGTTAGACCTGCTCTGCTCCCACCCTTGTCGAAACATTCATCCAGCCAGAAAATATCCTACTCCAACTCCCCAAGAGTGTGTTGCAACTTCATCAGAGGTAGGTACTGAGATGGGGCAAGAGCTCCAGACTAAACGCAGGCCAGAGGCACAGGGATACCCCTTAAAAATGTTTTCATGGCAAGGAAAAACATGCCCTGTGGTTCCCCTCTCGGTACTGAAAGGTTGGCACAGATGCCTTCTTCTGTGTTGACGGTTTAAATAGCTCTCACAGCATTTCATAAATTTAAACTCGAACTGAAAAGCTTTTCTTGTCTCCAAAAGAAAAACAGTCGCATATTACTTACCTAGTAATTACAGGCTACGCAGCTGCCCTAGAAAGCTTTCGTGTAAATGTGTGAAGCGTGAACCACGACACAAACCTTATTCAGATTTCATTAAGTGCTAAGCCAAGGAAATGTCATCCTCCACACCAACTGCCTGTTGAGAAACAATGGCCATCTCACCAGCCTGGGACCCAAACAGTGTAACAGACTCGATACTGTCGCCTGTGTCTATGTTGGCTCGGAGGCCTCTTGGTACTCCTCACCGACAATGGCTACTCCTCATTATGCAAAAGTGAAGCTTATGCTAATACACGCAAATCTAGGAGAAATAAGCCTCTCCGAAACATCACTTAAAGGCTTGGAATTCAAGAATAAACCCGTGCTTCCACCGTGATAAAAACACTGACCTACATTGCACTGAGCTGTGCCTTAAGCCTTCCTAGCATAACAATCGAAAGCTTACACAGCACTTCCATGTGTCTAATATCTAAAAATATTGAGCAGGTCACAAGAAGTGCTATGGCAGCATCACGCTGGTAACAGAAGAACAAAGAGGCCAAGGCGATCGCCAGGTCTTCAAGGGAGTTGCAGGGGGGAGGGTGGTGGTGGCAGAGTTCCCCCAGTTTTAGCCTTGTCTTTAGAGGCTTTGAGATCATCCACCCCAAACATGGAGCTCAAATGCTGTTGTTTGGCTCATGTGTATTATTTGACTTTCAAGCAAAGGAATGTGGCAGGATTTGGGGGACAGTGCAGAAGCTACAGCTGTTGGGCTCGTGACCCCACACCTTAGGAAAGTGGGGAGTCCAGCCTGCTGGAATGCATTTGGTTTTGCCTCAGTTTGGAGACACGGATGTGTTGACATGCAGCACACGTGCACAGCATTCTGCTTTTGAACCTTTTCCCACTTAATCTGGTTTAATGTTGGGAAATCGACAGGCTACCCGCCCTGCTGCGCGCATCTCACGGACCCTGACGCTGTGAGTAGAAGGCACAGCAGCTCCAGGCATTCGGCAAAACCCGTACACCCGGTCTAGTCACCCACAGGCACCCGGACATCCCAGCCGGGGCCGTCCTAGCACAAACCTGGCCAGCACTTCCATTCAAGGTTGTTAGGGGCATGAGCGAGAACACACCGAGAGCCGGCCACACCGGAGACCATCAGAGACACAGCAGCAGGGCCCAACTAGCAAGCACCCTGGCCGGGGATCCGGGGGTCAGCGGAGGACACCAGTGAAAAGCTGGCGAATTCCCAGCTACCTACAGCAGGGAGTGCTAAAAAAATGGATACACATTTTATACATGTATGCCGTTGGCTCAAAAGATGATGCTCACCAAACGAATGCTAGCGTCACCATGCGACAGGCAGGACAGTCAAAGAAAATGGAGGAAGGATGGTTGGGCAAACGTCATGTCACACGTGGCTACCAAAATTTGAAATGTGTGAACTTGTGCATAGACAGCGCCAGCATGGCTTAAAATGTGGATACACTGTGTTAGCACACCCCTCCTGTATACTTTATTTAGCTACCATGTATCAACATTTGTTCATAACAAAGGTTTACAAGGAGGAAAACAGCCTTCAGGGCATAGGGGAGCTGAACTCTCTGACCAACTTTGCAACTTTTCTGTAAATCAAAATTATCCCCAAACTAGAGGCGTATTTGTCCATGGACAAGGCTACACACTCCCAGTCGTCATTGAAAACTAGCCTTTGTCTACACTAGGGCAAATTTTACTATATAATTCATCTCTTAATCTCATATCTCCATTTAAAAATTATCTGCCATGTGCTCTCAGGTTTGAAGAAAGTTGCTGACTCCACATGAAGCATGGACACCTGATACCATCCACGACTCCGCCTCCCTGCTTTTCTACCTGCTTCTCTACAGAGAAGGCCTGGGAGCCCACATGAGCACGCCTCTCCTGGGGACCACTTGCTTGAGAGATAGACGTCTGGCCTGAATGCCATCAAAGAAACACAAAGGTGACACTCCCTACCATGTAACTAAACTAACTACAGTCCTAATCCTATAGATGCCAGAGACGCTCTCACTGATACTTAAAATATATGGTCCATTTGAGGCCAGTGCTGTTGCTGACACGACCTTAGAAAGGAAGGAGAACGTCACAGAGCCAGTGATATGTAAAGCTGAGACTTGAAATGGCCACCTATGTTCGGGAAAGTCCTGAGGGTGGGAAGCACATAAGAGCCGTGGTTTCCATCGTGCATGGTAGCAGCAACCTGAATGGAACTAGAGTCTATAATACTGAGTGATCTCTCACAGAAACAAAGATCTGAGTATCACATGTTCTCACTCAT